TCACATAACAAGCTGGAAAGGATCCCTGAAGCTTTATGCTTACTTGGTAATCTCAGCTATTTGGATATCAGCAACAATATTATTACAGCTTTGCCAAGAGGCTTGGTTGCACTGAAGGAAATTGAGTCCTTCTATGTCAACCGAAACAAGATAGTCTGGGAAAGCTTTATTGATCTAGCAGTTTACAAGAAGCTCAAACATGTCAAGTTTGATCTTATTAATTACCCCTCTTTGGACAGACTGCCTTCAAGTTTGATCTCTGTTACTCTCACATTATGTGATGGTCACAGAAACCACATTACTGACATAGATTGGGACATTCAAACATCCAAGAAGCCACACAAATACTTTGATTTTGTAGTCAGGTGTTTGCAGGGCAGAGCCCCTGATGAAGTTATGTTATCTAGCAGTGACATGTACACAATTTCTCCCATTGTTTTTTCCCTACCTGTACCAGAGGGAAGTGAAAGGGTTCATTCTCTTCTGCTGTCTGGCAATAATATGTCTGAAGTTCCCTCTGATACCTTTCAGTTGCTGAATCTTCAGAATCTGGATTTACGTAAAAATAACATCAGCTTGATACCAGGTGACCTTTGGAAGTTGCCAAACCTGACCTTTCTTGATGTCAGTTATAACAAGATAAAGGAAATAACAGGGGAAATCTCATTTGCCAAAAGATTGACAATCTTGTTAGCACAGGATAATGAACTTACCGAATTACCCCAAAGTATTTCCACCTTGCCATTACTAGAGGAACTTTGTGTTTTTTCAAATGACATAAACATCAGCCAAACTCCAAATGTGCTGTCTATGATGGCTCTAAAACACCTCAAGGTTGATCTGGCAAATGCTGTGAAGTGTGAAAGCCATCTGAGGTGCAGTGAAAGCCTGCTTATGCATTGCTACTATCAATCAGAGTGTGTTTTTGTTATCTCTGCTCAAATCTTCTTTGAACATTTGACACAAAGAAGCATGCTGCTGCAAGGAATTGACAAGCAGTTTTCCATTTACCTAGCAGGCTTTGGCTTAGTAGAATTTCCTGGGCTTATCATTTCTCAACATTTAAATGTTGAATCTATAGATTTGTCCCAAAATGAAATAAAGGATATTCCTCCAGAGGCATCCAAGCTTCAGCATTTGCAGAAAATTATACTGTCCCAGAATGGCATTCAGTATTTCCCTCAATATCTACATCATTGTAAATCACTTAAACATCTTGATCTTTACCTTAATGCAATACAAAGTCTTCCAGATAATATTGGAGAACTGAAGGGGCTTACGTATCTAAACTTGTCAAGTAACAGTCTAAAGCAGTTACCACTGTCCATTGGCAATCTTCAACAACTTGAAGAGTTGGTTCTTGAATATAACCAAATTGACCATCTACCAGATAGCATTGAAAGATTACAGAAAATTTCTACACTAAGACTTTCTGCAAACTGCTTAAGAGCAGTTCCAGGTTCATTATGTAACCTGGTTTGTCTAAAACAACTTGACTTGTCAAACAATGGTCTTGAAAGTATTCCTGAAATGATAGGAACTTTAAGAAGTCTTACATCTCTTGACATAAGTGGAAATAGTTTGTCTGTGCTGCCATCATCCATTTGTAGTTGTCATTCACTGGAAACCATGAAATTGTCCAGTAACACATTGACTCAGTTACCAGATTGCATTGACCATTTGGAAAACCTTACAGTGCTACAAGCTAGTATGAACAGACTAAGTGTAATACCTTCATCTATCTGTAGGCTTCAACGTTTGCAAACCCTTGATGTGTCTGTGAACAATATTACTGAGCTTCCTAGGGAGATGGGAGAATTGTCTAACTTAACTGCCCTAAATGTAGGCAACAACCATCTCAAAGAACTGCCTGAGTCCTTCACAAAGCTGGTAAATGTGACCTCTGTTGACATTTCATCAAATGACTTAAAAGCAATACCAGAAGAAATGTTTGAGTTTGTGAAATTAATTGAGTTCAACATTTCAGGTAACAAAATTGACACTCTACCAAACACCCTCTGTGAGCTGCAAAATCTAGAGTATCTGAACCTTGAGGAGAACAATATCAGAGCGTTGCCAACACAATTTGGTAAACTCCACAAGCTACGCCAATTTGGGAAGGAACAAATACAGGACAATCCAATAGAACAGCCCCCAATTGAAGTGTTTGAACAGGGATTGGAAGGAGTTGTTGCATATTTTGAAGAGCTGAATCTATCCAAAGCTATTGAAGTGCCACGTGTCAAGGCCCTTTTGCTTGGTGAGGTAGAAGCTGGAAAAACAAGTTTGTGTAATGCCATCAGACTGGGGAAATCAAACCTGACAGACATCACAGATAGAACAGCAGGAATAGAAGTTCATCCAGCACGGCTGCAAGATAGCATACAAGTATTGATGCATGACTTTGGCGGTCATAAAATCTACCATTTAACCCATCAGTTCTTCTTCAGTACTGCAGCTTTGTACCTGATTGTTGTGGATCTAAAGGCATTTGAAGAATCATCCTTTGATGCTGCTGTTAAATATTGGTTAAATGTGATAAAAGCTCGCATTGACTCCAAACCAGTACTCCGGATTGTTGCTACACACATAGACTTGTGTGATTCAGAAGAGATGAAAGAAAAAGCAGAAGCAATAATGAAGAAAATGAAGCAAATTGAGAAAATTGAAGTAGAGTCCCTCAAAAAACACCTATCAGATATAGATGATGCCTTGAACAGAGCTGGTACACCTTGTTCAGACTGGAGTCACTCCTTGGAGGGTTTTGACACCCAATCCCTGAGGAAAAGAAGGAAATTCATTGAGCACCTTATTGACAACAGACCCATCTTTCCTGAGTTTGTTGATCTGGTGAGTTGTGACTTGAGTTTGGCTGGTATCAAGCAGTTGATAGAAAACATTGTTATATCATGTCAAGATCACAGACTCTTTCCACGTCGAATCCTTCCAAAATCATGGTTTGAGCTGGAGCTTACAATAAAAACTTTGAAACAAGAGGGACATTTGCATTATCTCAGCATGGACGATGTTCAGAAAGTTGCCAAAGAAAAAGCAAATATGACCCCTACAAGGCTCAATCGAGCTCTGAAATACCTTCATGATATTGGGGAAATTGTTCATTTTTCAGACAGCCCCAAATTGTCTGACTTTGTGTTCCACAAACCTCAATGGTTGATGGATGTATTCAAACTAATCTACAAACCCGTTGAAAGATTTGATGAACGGTTTGCCTCAGTTTCTGATGCTGATTTTGATGACATGGTTGAAGATTTCTCCAACAGAGGAATTGTATCAGAACAGATGATACAGTGTTTATGGAAACAAATGAACCTATCTAAACCAGAAGAATCTATGTTGATCTGCCTACTTCAGAAATTTGACCTTTGTTTTCAGATGCCAACAGCTGAGAATACTGTGTCAAATGTGTATCGCTTTCCGTGGTTGCTGAGTGATAGTGCCCCTCAACAGTTTGAGCAATGTTGGAAACAGAAGATTTCCTTTGATGAAGAAGTATTGATGATTGTATTTCAACTACAAAACTATTGCCCTGTAGGTTTGTTTGAAACTCTTTCAGTGAAACTAGACAAATATGTAATTTGTCGTAAAGACTGGAAATATGGCATCATGGCAGTCAGTGAGGTGGGAAAGAGCAAAATTTTGGTCCAGCTTGAAACGAAACAAAGAAGTGAGGAAATCCTCATTTCTGTGAGAACACAAAGCAAGAAACTCAAACAAGCATGGGAGGTTATGGTGTTGATCATCAATGCAACAAAGGAGCTCCTTCAGCAATGGCCAGGTGTACTGTACTGTGTCCGAGTGGTCTGCCCACACTGTCTGAAGCAAGGAGTGGACAAGCCTCACCGGTTCTCTGGAGCTGTCCTGGACAAGGCACCAAGAGGCACTGTTGTGTGCCCCAAAACATTGGAAGAGATTGATCCCAGACTGATTCACCCAGAAATAAGTATGTCTGTCTTGTTCTTTGTACTAGTTTTTCTGATCATTAGCTTGACATCTAATGTCATGATTACAGTAACTGTATATTTCTGGTGATAACTGGAGTTTACACTTCAGACAGGTGCTCACACATATGAGAGAACCATATTCCATTTCTCTTTGAGTCTGATGTGTCTTGTTTTCATTCATTCGGACATATCTACCTTGTCAGGAAGACGGTTTAAATTGAATTCGTTTGATACGAATTGTCTGTTGAGCTTACAGTATACATTTGTATGTATATGTACTAATATCCCAATTTTCACAATTCATTGTTCCTGGCAATGTGTAATGATTGAAGCATTCCTGTGACAGTATATGGCCTGTTTGTCTCTGCCATGTAAACTAGGCCCAGCTCAGTGGCAGCAGAGGAGAAAGAGAGCCCTTGAGGAGAGTGGGAAGAGCCCAGCTCCTGAGGAGATCATGATGATGGAGAAACAACCACGATATTCAGGTACATGTGACTGTACTGCAAATGTCACTGAATATTTCATTATCAATGAAAGAATTTCTGCAGATCTTGTGAATTAACCCAAACGCTGTTGTAATGTAATTGGCATGCACATATAAACCAACCAAGTTTTTTTTCTTTTTAAAGAACCAGAACTAGAACCTGAAAATACAGTGAGAAACAACACTGCAGTTCATACAACACATGTTTCCAAGGACTGTCTCGCCCAAAACAATGCTGACACAGGTATGAGAGTTTTGCCTGTTTCTTAACTCCAGTACATTCAATTTCTTATTAAGTGATGTGTAGGAACACATGTGGAGACTGCTGGTAGGACCACGAATCTCCCTGTTGCTTCCACATCCACATAAAACAAAACAAATCGTTGAGTAAATGTGGGGTCCAATTACATTATTGAATGTATATATGTATAATGTTAATTTAATAATGATTGTGAGATTGGCTGAGTCAGAAACTCTCCGAATTATTTTCCTATCATATGTTACTTCAGAAAATGTATGGGAAAGAAGTATGTCGATAGAGATACAGCCAGGAGATGAAGGTAACAGACTTGCAGCCCACCTGATGGAGTCAGGCCTCACACTTCGCCCAGACGTGCCCAGAGATGGGAACTGCCTCTTCCATGCAGTATCTGACCAACTTGTGCGCACTGGAAGTCAGCCAACCAGTCACTCACAGCTCAGACAAGACGTGGTCACCTATCTGAGGCAACATCCTTACAATGTAAGGCTGTTATACAATTTCTCAATATCAAACATAAAGGGCCTATGAACAAAAAACGAAAATTAAGAATATTATACAAACTTAGTACATGTACATAAAATGTTACGCATGACTTTCCTAAAAGAGTTTTAAAAATAAATGTCATTAGGTTGATGTTCTTCAAAGAGGAACTACAAGTCTTGTGTTATGTTATGTTATTATGTGCACTAAATATTACATAGTACATAATAAATAAATATCTTCAAGACTTTATCAAGTGCCATAAGCCCAGGTTCAACTTATCATTATCATAAATGATGATAAGAATAATTGCAAACATTCAGGTAACAGTATGTCATTTCATTTCTTCTCACCTCAGATATACTTTCCTCTTCCAGGGGCAGGGTGATCACCTTTGTAAGTTTGTACCAGATAAAGACTGGGAAGACTATTTACAGGAGATGTCACAAAATGGAGTGTGGGGAGACCACATTGTTCTACAGGCCTTTGCTTCCATGTTAGACAGGGACATTAGGATCGTGTCCAGCATTGATGCAGACAACTACACAACCATACTGACACCTATGGGAAACCAACAAGATACAACAGGACCACCACTACTGCTTGGTCACTATGCTGAAAACCACTATGCCAGCCTGGATGGTAGGTATACTTACTATTTTTCTACTGTTAAAGAAAGCCAACAAAGTCAACATGCATGTTAATGTAAATTCAAAGATACTAATAAAAAGATGGCAGAGGAGAGAGTTGATATTTATGGTTGTCTAATGACAGTTAAATATTGTATGATTGCTTGAGCCCAGTGTCTTGTTCAATTGCTGACAGATTATTTCAATTTCCATCATCTGTACAGTCTGCCAAAGATGTGCGGTCCTGCTAGTCAGTGATGAGTATGGCACTTCCAAGGGTGGGATTTCCACCATCAACCAACAGCTGGCACTACTATTAAGACGTTTTGGAGCAGTTGTGTACTGCACAGTACTATGGGCAACAACAGAAGACCAGGAAGAAGCAAGAAAAGATGGTGTCCATCTCATCAGTCCATTTGTGCGACCTGGAGACAAAAGGAAACCATCCTTAGACTGGCTCACGTATGACCACCATATCAGATTCCCAAACCTTCCTGAAGATGTGGGCTACATTGTTGGTCATTCTGGTATCACAGACAAGGCAGCCGAGGATATAAAAAACAGCCGCTATCCACAAGCAAAGCTCTTCACATTCAACCATACAATACCTGAAGATACAGAACACTACAAGGGAGGACAGAAAACATTGAAAGCATGGGAAAAAGAAATGGAAATACTCAAGGTAGCTGCTGCTGCAGATGCTGTTTTCTCTGTGGGTAAACGAATCTACGACCACTTCAAAACCATGTACAAAGGAGACAAGAACCCAAAGAAACATCACCTCTTCCTCCCAAAGCCTTCCGAGACATTTGAGAACACTCATGTCAAGCCAGGAGGAGAACAGAAAGTTGTCTTGTTTATCGGGAGAGTAAAAAATGTTGAACGACTCAAAGGGCACGACTTGGCAGCACTGGCGATAGGCAAAGCTGCAGAGGAGATAGCAAAATATAATACTAGTATCCGAATGCGTGTGCGTGGCATCAGTGAAGATGATTTTGAGACAAGCCAGAGAATCCTAGAAGACAACTTGCAAAGTGGCAGACTCAAACCAACTCTGATTCCCTATGGCACACAGAAGGAGATCAGTGATGACATGAAGACAGCCCATCTAGTCCTGATGCCATCTCGGGCTGAGCCGTTCGGACTTGTTGGACTGGAGGCCCTGGCAGCAGGCATCCCTGTCCTCATCTCAAGCCAATCAGGACTTGCAGACCTAATCAACGACTTGATCCAGACAGGAAAATGTGACGCAGACCTCAGGCACAGGATTGTGGAAACAAGCGTGAATGTTAGTGACCTGGACAAAGATGCATGTAAGTGGGCAGATAAAATCGTGGACACTCTCAGGCGGAATGATGAAGAGTTTAAGAAAGCAGCCCGTTTCAAACAGCAACTTCAGGACTCCAAGTATTGGGAGGAATCTCACCAAATTTTCCTCCAGGCATGTGGCATTACAAATACCTCTTAGAATTATATAGTACTTAGTAAGTTGGAGTCAGGAAACATGGGAGCTGAACAACAGGAGATAACTTTTGTAATGACCATCTGAAATCTATGATTTTGTATTGGTTGGAAACATTCTTTCTCCTCAGTGAGCACACATATGTTGCAATGTACAAGAAAATGAAATAATATAAATTTTAACTGTTGGAAGTGGCAATGAATATTTTTGTTGAAGACAATATGACAGTTTGACTGTAAAATGTTTTCCAACTGAACAAATCTTGTGTAACCAAACCAAATGTGCAATCAAATGAAAGTAAAATGGATAAGTTACAAATACAGAAATGTGTTGCATGGCAAATTGTAGATAAGTCATACAGTAACCACCTTGTTCATCTAGACCTCTAGTGCAGCTCTAGATCTAACCCTCTTCCTGCTTCAGGTCCATACAGTTTTCTATAGTTGTCTGTTAACTTTGATGTCAATAATTTAAAATATTATATTTTTGTACGTTTGATGTAAATAAAGATTATATTTTTGTATGTTTGGTGTAAATAAAGATTATATTTTATATACAACTTTGCATGGATTATTTTGTGTGCTGAAACACATTACTAAGTCTTGATGACACATATATATAAAAGTACCGGTAGTCAACATTTAAGGACAAACCTAACTACAAGGTACCATAACCCTATGACAGTAAACTGAATGTTGAAGGGCAATGTACTCCAAAGGACTTTTATATGATTACAGTCCTGACTTTTAACAAAGATGTTTATCACACCGTTCTTATCACCCACAGCTAGCTATTTTTTTAATACAAAGTAACTGTTACTGTTATTAAGTCATATGAACATGGACATACTGGCATGGACCTGACGGTGACAGGTGTAGTAAGCCCCAGGGTCACACATGGCTTGAGATCAATAAAAATGCACTTTCCATGCTACTGGTCTACCATTTGTTACTTTCACCAAAATTAATCAATAAAATTTATTGTCACATTCGCAGTTTTAACATTAAACAATTGTAACACGTAACCCTTGTTTTACAAACCTATTGCAACCAAATGTTGACAGAAAAATATTCCCATGACCAATGCATGGATAAAATCCATGTAAGGGGACAAAGTCCAGAGTGTGGGTTCTAAGTTCAGTCCCTGGGTCAATCTCGTGACTACCAGTCAAACTTTGATGGTGGAAATGTTGCAGGAAGAGTGGAGACTGTAAAGTTTCTCCATTGGGAGAAAGTTCAAGGCTGTTCCTGTGGGCCTGAAGTTGCAGCAAGTTTGTAGGTAAGCATTTAGGACTGAAGATATTGGCAACATACAGTTGTGGGCACTTGGAGGTCCACAGGAACTATAAAGTAACACTGTTATTTTCAATCCTTGCATTTTAACACTAAGATGAAGTGACTTAGTTCTTGTAGTTGGTTTATAAACTTGTACAATTACTGTAATACCGGACAAGACGTGAGTACCATCATACTGCTTGATTTGGGGATAAAAGACTTGCCAGATACTATTGTGTGCCACAAAAGCACTTCACATACAGGCCTGAAGTTGTGAAATTGAAGGTCATGTAACAAGAAAAGAAATGCATGATTGTACTCAAACTAAAAGAGATCAAATTATCTATTGTCCCTATCAAACTCCTACTATCCCAGGGTTATATTCTCAAGTTTGGTCTTCTTTTATTTTCACCAGGGACTCATATTCTGTTGACAGCACAAACAAAGGCCCGGGGTCAAATTGAACAGCCTACCATGTCAGGTGATCGGAAGGTTGGTTTCATTATCAAGTGCTGACATGCAAAAATGAATGGTCTATTATTTTATCAACATTTTTGATAAGTCTATCATATACATGTACATGTATCTGTTACAGTCCGTCATGATAGCATATTGCATGTTTGCAATTCACAGATTATCCACACAAGCACATGATCTAGTACGTTACAATGTACCATTCATTTCATTTGCAAGCAATCAATCAGCAATCAATCAGCAATACAACTGTTAATTAACCATCCAAGAGTAAGCAAGAATCTCATGCACTTTTAGGTTTGAATGAGAAAAAGAGAGAGAGAAGCAACAGCTCACCGTTTTGAAGACCTCACACATAGAGTCACCACAGTCCAGACCACCATGGCAGCAGGTCCACTAGAAAGGCACTACATCGCAGCAGACATCAGCATTATAACATGTAGCATTTGTCTCAACACATACAATGACCCTAAGAGTCTACCATGTCACCACACATTCTGTAAAGATTGTCTGAACGATTGTGTAGGTAACAGGTCACGTATTGCATGTCCGCTTTGTAGGCTGGAAGTTTCCGTCCCTCATGGGGGGGTTTCGGCTTTTGGGACAAACTTTGTCATTAGAAACCTGGTGGACAGTGCCCAAAGGCTTGTTGACATAATGCCTGAATCTGAGGCTACTGCCGACTGTAGTATTAAAGATGACAGAACGTGCCCCGTACATCCTAGTAAAGAGATGAGGTATTTTTGCGAAACCCACGGTGTGCCGATATGTGAAGACTGCCTCTTCACTGATCATAATGAGCACAAGACCAAACGACTGCAGGACATAATGCCTGGCAAAGAGGAAGAGTTAGTTCAGCTAGTGAGTCAGGCCAAAAAGAAGTTGACAGCTCTAGGAGAGAAACCTCAGTTTATCAGAGAGGCAGTGGCCAGCATTGAGACCAACATGCAGACAGTTATACAAGATGTGATTGAAGCCACAACTGAGAGCATTGTGAGGTTGGAAGACAGCATGAAGAGTCAGAGAGATGCTTTGATCAAACAGATAGAGAAACAGTGTAGGGACAACATATCTGTGCTCTCTGATGACAGGTCTAGTATTGAGAGGGATAGGTCCCTTTTGGCTGACACTATACATTTGTCAGAAGCTGCTGCCACACACAAAGATGCACTAGAGATACTGTCATGCATAGAAGCCTTGAAAGAGCTTGGGGTGCTAGGTCAGGATGAGGAAAAGGTACTCGCACCAATGCTAACTTTTGTCCCAGCTTCTCCCAATGCTTCTTACAGTTTGGGCAGTGTTACAACTGAGGATGGCAAAATCAGTGATGTAGAGGAGGAAGTGACTGAATGTGGCAGTAGTATAGCTCTTGCTAATGACAGTGAAACCTCGTATGAATACAGCTCTGACAAAAAGAAAGGCTCTATCTATCCTAAACCCATTCAGATCATTCGATTTGGGCATAAGGGAAGTGAGGAGGGGGAATTTGATCACCCTGTGGCTGTCATTGCCACAGACAAAGGTCTCTTTGTTCTCGACCAAAACAACCACCGAATGCAAATCTTTGAGCTCACAGGCAAATTCAAGAGAAGCTTTCCCGTAAGTCTTCCTGAGGAGACAGGAAGCAAGCCATGCAGCTTTGCCCTCCACCCTACAACAGACCGTCTGGCTGTACTAGACAGTGGTCTGAAGGTTGTCAAACTGTTCACGAAGAGGGGCAAGTTTCTTCAAACTCTTGGCAAAGGGCAACTCAAAGAGCCTTCCATTGTATGATACGTACAACAGGCTCAGGGAATTATAGTGTCTGTTATCGACAAAAATGATCTGGTTCTGTTTGACCTGAAAGGAGATACCTTTGCAAGAATTTGCCTCTCAACCGAATGTGAGGCCCCCTCAAAGCAGCCAGTTGGGCCTGGTCATTTCGCTGTTCCCAATAACATGACCAAGCAACTGCTCTTCTACAAACCAGACTTCAGTCTGGCTTATGTGATGGGTGGGTGGGGCCAAGGGGGTGGGAGGTTCAAAGGTCCCATCGGACAAGGCACGTACATTGACACCCATGGCTTCGTGGTGCCTGACCAAGGTAGTGGTAGGCTGCAGTGTTTTGACAGGTTCTGCAATTTTGTGGAGGTTATGGCAGATAGAGATGATGGGTTGGGAAACCCGAGTTGTGTGACCTGCACACCAACGGGTCTAATTGTGTCTGATGTCGGCAAAAACTGTATTTTCATCTTAAAATATGTGCCTGAAAGCAACAAATCCTGCTGTGTGATAATCTAGTAGAAACCAATATGGCCAGAGCCATAGTCTAAGTTTAGGTTCCTGTTGATGTCAAAGAGTACATGGTAAAACTACAGCTTACATAATAGGATATTCTGTAGCTGCTTAAAGTGTAAAAATCAGCAAATCAGGATGGTGGATATGCTGCAATTCTTTTCCTGTTTTTGATAATATTATAAAAAAGAATTCTGGATAGTCAGTATCACTTCTGCATGTTAGGCTTTATTACAAGTTTTATAGTATTGTTTGTCATTTCTGCCAGTTCATTGCCAGTTTAAGCAATTGTACACTATCATGTACTGGTATGTTAAGAAAATAAATAATTACATGTACAATATGTTTAATGTGGCAATTCATTTAATGTCACTGTAGACAATATTATTTAATATTCAAACTAGATTATACCATGAAGATGCAATAAGTTCATTTTTTTGGAACATTGAAACACTGTAAATTTTGTATGACTTTAACGATGTACAACCAATGTTTTCTACAACAGACCATGCTTCATGAGCCATGTGCCATCTGCAAGCACTTTGTCCTAGAAGTTTTTAAACTCCATCAATCCGATAAAAAAGTTCAATAGTATGACATTGTATAACGTTATGTACATTGTACTGTACATGTTCAACTTAGATGTTGTAATCCATCTGTATCCCTTTGTACAATGTATGTACACAGTCATATGAATGTCCTCTCAGTGGTGATGTTAGTAAACCTGTTTAGATTGTAATATTGTAACCTTTACAATTTACAGTGATCTTTACAATGTTGGAGAATAGTTACTGAAGTTGGAACCTGGAGTAGAGGTGACCAAGTTTTGGGATGTTGCTGTGGAGGATGGAAAGTACCACTGCAAGGTGCTTCCTTACTAGGTCTGTAATTCAATTAAAAGTATGACATTGTTATTGCAGACAATTAATATACATTGTCATCCTATCTCTGGTAGCAGATGAATTTAAGTACCGTTCAAGATCACATTTTTGTGATATCGTCAGAGTAGTGCATGTATAAAGTTCTAAAATGGCTAGCAATTTGGATTCTGACTCAATTTGCAATGCTACTTATGACAAATTTTTCTTTTGACTAAGTGTGCTTACCTGGGTTGAAGAATCTGATGGGTCGTCCTGTGATATCCCTCATACTGTATAGCTCTGGTGAAGGTGGATTTTCCTGCAAAAAAACATGCACTAATTATCCTGTATTCTGTTACTAAAATAGCTAGCTGTTTGGATAAAATTCATCAAATATGTCATGCAAAACATATGTAGCATAAATCCATTCAAATGAGATGAAAACAAGAGACATACAATGCACAGCATTGGTTCTTTTGGTAAGATAAACTATTAAACACAACACATACATGTAGCACCCTTGCAAAATGTCACATGATGAAATCATTACACATTGAACTGAGAATCACTTACCACCATAAACTTCCACACCTCCCTGAGCAGGAGAGCCACCTCGTAAGGAGTCACGATGTGGAACAGTTCTGAAATATAACCTAATGGAGCAGGCAGGAGATGGGCCTGGAAGATGACAAAAAATAATATCCATGTGTATTCATATTTACACATAATAATCTGTACATGAATCAACATTCACAAAAATACAAGCCAAGCATTTGGTATTCTGGTTATGATTCAAAGTCCTCATTTTGAGTTTCAACGCCTGGTTCTAACAGGTTGCTAGTAACACTACTTGACCACAAGAAATCTGGACATTTTACACTTACATCATTTACTGTTGAATGGTGACATTTAGTAACTTGCAAAGTACTATTCAAAATACTTCACCAGTGTTTTTGTTTTCTGAAATATGTGCCTCATACCAGTAATTCCAATCCTGTATTTTTAAAGTTTGTCAAGGTGCAACTTGTTCATTTTTTCTGCAATCTTATATTAATTTTTTGCACTGGTTGACTCTTCAAGCCCTGCAAGACCACACCAGAAACTTCACTTCGCAAGAAACTTCACATGCTTCACAAAGGTACATGACTGTGTACTTGCTCACCTCTCCCATACACTCCAGTGCCTTACAGGAAGCCTGGAGGTGCCATGGAGAATCAGCCGTCACACTGCTGCGTGAACCCTCCCAGTGGGTGATCAGTGTGGATATTACACTACTCAGCAATATTGCACAGTGGCACAGGGCTGTTCTCCCTAAAACACAACACAAACAATATCAACAAATGTAACAAGACTGTACAAATATAGAATACACATTCATAATTATGTTCAATTCATGAAAGCAAATCTACATCACGTGAAGATAATCACATATTCTTGCCTTCTGCTATCATCTTCAAGATGTCCCAAAGTATTGGATGCTCCTTAAATTGTCTTGTTATGTGCAAATCTCTGTAAAGAAAGATAAAAAAGACAAGTCTTCGTCAGAGAACATATTTTTAATTTGCACATAACTTTTATTAACACAACAAAGGTACAAGGTCTACATGTACATAAAAAGCCAACACACAGGAAAATCTCTATACCCTAAAAGTTGAAGTAGATACTTCGACACAGAAAACAAGACCACATATGTACCTCTCTACAGTGTACTTGGTGAACTCCTCATCAGGCCAGTCTGTGGGGGCTTGGATGACATCTGGACACACCAGTTCCACCACCAGCAATGCAAGAGTTCTCGAGCCTAAAATTGCACCAAAAAAAAATATTGACTTGACAATGGGTATAGATAAGAATGTATGCCTAGTGTAAAGATCTCCATAATCTAAATCCCTACTTAACATTGAGGACACTAATGTAGCTGTTTCACTACCAATTCTGTTTTGACTATGGGTAAGGCAGCAGGAAGAAGGTTAATGTTCAAGCTCCAGTCTTTGTAATAAAAAAAAAAAACGAGTGCCAATTGTGGATCTAAATAAACTCAAACTCAAACCTGATGATGATATTCTCCTCCTCTCCACTCGACAGTCAGAGGAGTCCATCCTGTCTTCCTCGTGTTTGGGGATGGAGGCGTGATGGTGCTCGTGGAGAGTACAGGTGTACAACACATCTAACACAGCCTGGCAGCTCGCTGTTACCTGGTCCTGGACAGGAGAAACAGCTTAGATGTTATTGACTCATTCAGGAGCCACAATTAGCTTCTCGGCTTACACCATTAAAATTCTTTCTGTGGTTCCACTCAATACAAGGACATAAAATCACATACAAGACTGAAAGACTACAAATAACTATCATACATGTACATCTAATGCATACTACACATAATCAGCATATAGTAAAATACAGGCATACATGTTCATTTAACTGTCCTGTCATGTGGTGTAGTATTCTATTTGTGGGACATACATACATGTATATGTATAGTAAATTAAAAGATTAACTGATATAACAACCAGATAACCCAGTTTACAGACATACTGTTACAGTAACAATTGTGTATATTATGAATATAAGATGTGGAACAGCTAAATATGCTGGCTGAGACACTTACACTTGGCAGCTGCCTGGCATCAGACTTTGCCCTGAGGCCCTTGCCGATGACTCCAGCATGGAAGACTGTGGGTGTGCTGGAGCGACCCAGCTGGATGTTCTGCTGCAGGAGGGAGGACTGACCCTCACTACTGTCAGCATCTGAAAAATCTACACGCAAAAAAAATCATACGTGAAGATTACACATCTAGGTAATAAGATATGCCAAAAAACAGTTACTCAAGCAACTGGATATGATTTTGGAAACGGTCAGACGTTTCAGGTAGTATCCACTAGAGACTTGTACATACATGTAATATGTTATCAGGCTTATGAAATGCATTCATGGTGTCCATGCATTATGTTCTACAATTATCCCTCTTCATATTGAAAAGGCAATATGGGAAAACGTGAAAGTTGTTATAAAAGTGTATTTGGCTTACCTTCAACATTCCCTCCAAATAACATTGCATTTTCCTTAAAGAAAAAAAACAGATACAATGAGTAATGGTATCCAAGGATTTTTTCAATTTCCTTGGTAAAATGTTTTATTTTTATATCAATTGTAAATGTATGTGTAAAACATTTCTTTTTCCCCTCTTCCCTGTCATGAAAAAAATGTCAGATAAGTATACCAGTCCTTTAGAGTTCAGGATTATATTATGACCACCCCTACAAATGCCTTCCCGTTGTTCCCTCACCTTGTCCAGTACCCCCTGTACCAGATGGCGTATCACCAGTGTCTGTCCCAGCTGTACACCACACAGATGTGACAGGTACACCTTACAGTACTGTACTACAGTTATCTTCTCTTCCAGGTCTGTAACACATCAACAACATCATATTATCATGACAACAGTAGTATGACAATAGATGAATACATATTAACAACTTTATACTACAGAGCATTAGTAAGGCTGCAAGTGATTTGAGGACAGTGTCATCAGTTGCTTAGGCATTTTGGTAACCACAGTTTCGCCTTCAATGAGACTTTATCTCCTAAGTGCAAAAAAGTTTAACAATTGTAATGTACAAAAGACAGGTTTAGTACCGGTAACTGTTTAATCTATAGTTTATTTATTCCTACAAAATACATACAGATAAATAAAGAAATCCTAAGAAAAAAAGATCATACAACCAAGAACAGATGAAAAAAGAATATATTGAAGTTTCAAACAACAGCACAGAACAACCTTCCTTAAGTTAATTGTATTACTAATTCTAGGATTTTTACACACCTGTATCATGCAGCACCCTGAAGAAACACCTGACAGCTGCCTGGCAGGTGTGGATGAGGGCAGGTGTGGTGGGTTTGGCAGGTAAGCCCACGATGGCCTGGATCTGCATGGCTTTGGCAGCCACCTGGAGGCAGCTGTGTTCCAGCTGTGATGTCATGGGCTGCAGGTGCAACAGGATGGCCTCTTGCAGTTGCCACCTGCAAGATACACAGATATGAGATCACCAAGGAACAAATTATTGAAAGATATAATGAATCTAATCTAAAAGCTATGACAAAAAAAGATACCATACAATAGCTAGAAGCACACACTTTCAAATGTCATTTTACACAACTGTACATCAGATACTATATATAGAAGCCAAGAACCATACACAGTTAAATGTACATTTGTATACTTAGTACTTTTTATACACATTATAAAAGAAAGAGTGTCCATGATATGAAGGAGAATATCTACCTGAAATGCCTCTTGCTCATGTCGTCACTTTTCAACAGGTGAACAATGTTTGCCAACAATCTTCTTGCCTGAAAAACACATGAAAGATAACAGCATCTGTATTTGGCATTTTACAATGATTGTTTTGAAACCTCATAGTCTTGACACTTGTATAAACATAAACCAAATCAATACTTTAGATAACCACTAAAAACACATCTGAGTAAAAGAAGTAGGACATATGATATGTCAAATGATTTCAGTCATACTGAGGAGAGCTGAACATTTGACCCAAAATTCATACTTTGTACACCTGAGCTCACCTGTGCGTTGTTGAGCGTGCCTGTCTGTAGTGAGTCCATACACCTGCAGACAGCTGCACCTGTCACGTCAGGCAGGCAGCACTGGAACCCTTCCAGCAGCTCCAGCAGCAGACACAGCTGTAACAGGTGGTGGTGCAGTAGTTAAGTTGGGGAAATATGCTGATGTAGCTCTTGTGTTAAGCCAGAAAGTGATTACATCATTGGGGAATTGAATCTATGTTTCTAAGTTCCAGCAGCAGACACAGCTGTACCAGGTGGTGCAGTAGTTTAGTCACGGAAAAAATCTAAGGCCCTTTCCACACTAAGATGAAATTGTTTGGATTAAGCCAAATAGATTAACGATCCGGTCAACATTATCCTAGTGAGAACAGAGCCTTAGTGCTCTTTGCTATATGGTTAAACTGAGTACAGTGTGTCTCTCCAATGGCCATAGCTATACTCAAATGAATGCTAAACAGGTCTAATAATCTGTTTTACAACTTTTCAAACAAGAAATTCCAGACATGTTTGCAAAATTTCCAACATCCTACACATGTAGTGATGCACATGTATTTAAGTTACAGTAGTATAGGATACCTGTTGTTGAGACTGGGCATGTTGTAGGTTGTAGGTGACAATGTCTGCAGCACAACTCTCTCCAAGGTGACACCCCAGCAGTCTCAGTATTTGTACCAGCCACCACTGTCTGACTCAAACACATACAC